CCCTCCTCACCAGCCTCACAAAATGTCAAAAACTAGAAAGAAGAGAAATTCCGAAGCCGATTGAATCAGCCTCTGGGACGACTGGCTCACGATCCTGGATTTGCGGGGCATGACTCTGGTAGTGAGGGGAAGGAAGATGATGATGAAGAGGAGGAAAAGAAGAAAAAAAAAAGCGCGTCTTAACTACTAATTACCATTAATTAGTCTTGTGATACATAGAACTCTCACGGTTAAGGTCACGTAATTAGCAGGTAAAAGGCAGATAGAATACTACACACACACACACACACACACACACACACACACACACACACACACACACACACACACACACACACACACACACACACACACACACACACACACACACACACACACACACACACACACACTGTTTACCATTGTTTATTTACCTGCACTGTTTATGTATATTGTTTGTATACCTGTATTTTCTGTATACATGTTGAATTAATATAAACATTGTATGACGAATTTACTATCTATCTATCTATCTATCTATCTATCTATCTATCCACCCCCTCTCTATCTATCTAACACCCTGCTCCTACACAACAGTTCCTCGCGGTTATGGGAACGGGAACAGCAGTTTGGGCGGCGGGGAAAACGCGCCACCTGCCTCACATTTGACCTCAGGTGATTGGGGGCTTTACGATACCCGGAAGTAAGCTTTTAAATCGTGAATGTACCGGAGAGAGAGAGAGAAAGAGAGAGAGAGAGAGAGAGAGAGAGAGAGACATTGAGCTTACCACACTATCCCATAACGTCCTTATTTAACATCTTACTTTCTCTTTTTACTTTCCCTGTGTGTGTGTGTGTGTGTGTGTGTGTGTGTGTGTGTGTGTGCTTTCTTCGTCAATAATGTTAATGTTAAAATTATCTATGTTTTGAAAATAGTAATATTTTAACATTTATTTTAACACTGAATATCTAGTTTGTAAAATGTTAACCTGACTTTATACCCCAGGGGCGTTATGTTAATTCGAGTTAACTTTCCATTAGTATTGTTACATTTAGTTACCTCATATTTAACATTGAGTGAATGTACTCAGGGGGTAACTTTCACTAGCTATGGTCACGAGTCCCATAGTTCACTCTGTAGCATTCACTCTTTTTTTCATAGTGGTTAATTTATTGTCTATTCACTATATTTACACTCATTCACTCATTTGACTATATGGGAGTAATTCATTTTACTTCATAACATTTCACTCATTTAACTCATTTCATTCTCTCAAGGTCTTTCATTTCACTCTCTGTATTTCACTCATTTTTCTGTACTGAGAGACGAACCAGGAACCATCCCTCAACCACAAGCAGGAACCAACCCTCAACCACAAGCAGGAACCAACCCCCAACCCATCCACCAATAAAATCAACCCAAGACAACAGGACTCCACCAACCTATAGTCACCCACAAGACTCAAGGAACACAGTGAAGTGAACAACCATATACCCACCCCCCCCTCCCCCCTCCCTCCCAGGTTAAAGTCAAACCACAATACGGAGACACCAGCGCCCATATGAGAACACCAACGCCTGAATGAGCACACCAACGCCTGTATAAGAACACCACTAACCCCCCCCTCCCTTCCAGGTGTTACGAAGAATGCTTACTTACCTGTCGTCTTTTCGTATTATTATTATTATTATTATTATTATTATTATTATTATTATTATTATTAGTATTATTATTATTATTATTACCTTCACTTTGGACTACCTGGAGTACAGAGGGAAGTAAAATATTTGGTGCATTACCTGGCGTGAGTTGGCACCTTACTTGAGTACAGTTTACTATTATTATTATTATTATTATTATTTGTAGTTTGTTAAAGGTTTTATTTACGTTTATTTATTGGGGGGGGTAAACGTGTACTGTACCTGTGTTATAGTGTTGTTTGTACTACAGTGCTTCACCATACCTAGTGGTGACTGTATGATGGTAGAGTACATGACTGTCTCACTATAACTCAACATTAACTTGATCATTATTCTTCGTTATTTTTCTTTATTTCTCGTCTTTATTTTTATATTTTGATGACTAATTTTACGATAAATATCCCTAATTGTTTTTTTTTAATTAGTTCACTACTGTTAATAATTTCATTAATCAAATATTTAAAGCAAAATATGGTGACGTAGGTTATATTGGCACAGGTATATAGAGATGAACAAGACAGGTATAGAACTTGTCACTTTACTGGTATCAACAGTTTCACCCCTTGGACAGGTTTACAGGGGTTCTTGCTTACCTGAAGGGAATACCTGACGTAAAGGTGAGGCGCCTTTACCTGTCTGTCTTCCGGAAGTTAACGGTGAGGGCGTGGTGATTTACCTGGGCCAGTGACGTATGTGTGTGTGTGGTGCTAGTGGTGTGGGCGGTGGTTGTGGTATAGTGGTGGTGCAGGTAGTGGTGTATTGTTGGGTATGGTGAGCATGAAACTAGTTGGGTGGTAGTGAAGTGTGGTGAATGATGATGATTGTCGGAGAGGTGTATTGGTGGTGATGTGGTGGTATAGTGTGGTGGAGGTGGTGCGGTGATTATGCTTTTATTGTGGTGGTAGTGTGCTTGTGTGATGAAGGTGGTAGTAACGTGGTGATGGTGGTTGTGTGATGATGATGATGATGATGATGATGATGATGATGATGATGATGACACAGTGACCGAGTAGTAAGTGGGATAATAGTTGTTTGTTTTAGGCCCGTGTATGTCTGTATATCTGTGTGGTAGTTAGTACACACACACACACACACACACACCCACAAAGCTGTTTTTCATTCCTTTCATATATTCTTCACTGAATTAAAATAACTGTATTAAATTAAAAGGTTAATTAACATCAGGTAAACTCTCAGGAAGTCACGTATTATTTTTGTTTATTTTTTTATGAAGAAACAATATCTAATTAAAGGTGAACGTTACCTGACCGAGTTATATAATTATATTTACCCCTTAACAACTACCATTATAATATCTTTTAGAGAACAAGATGGTGGTTCTCCCTGTTCATATGTTCAAAGGATGTAACACCTGTTGACTGATGTTACTCTGTACCTGTGGATGAGTAGATGTCTGTCTGGCTACTTTCTTGTTCTCCTCACCTGTCCCAAGTGTGTGTGTGTGTGTGTGTGTGTGTGTCTGTGTGTGTGTGTGTGTGTGTGTGTGTGTGTGTGTGTGTGTGTCTGTGTGTGTGTGTCTGTGTGTTTAAGCTTAAGCAAAAATCTAATGCAATATTCTCCACCCCAACAGGTTCCAACACTGTTTTCCTCGCCTACTTCTTTTTTTTTTTCCAGAGGATGGTGATGGTGAATGGGTTTAACTGATGCCTCGACCACCGTCTACCTGAACCTCTTTTGTTTAGCGCCACGAACACACTTATATTTTTCATTGGGGTTTAGGTCAGTGCTCACAGAGGTCGTTGGAGCGCTGAGTATTGAGCATACATCACCCTACTGTGCCTACTGTGTTACGCATGTGTCTATGTCAAGTGTACTGAGACGGGGTGACTGGTTGAGCCGACTTTATTACTTGTATCTTGCTTTTGTTTTGATCTGCAACGTTTTTTTAAGAAGTCGGATTTATTGCTGATGAAATTATTATTATTATTATTATTATTATTATTATTATTATTATTATTATTATTATTATTATTATTATTATTATTATTGTTATTATAAAATCGTATATTTATGTTACACGGAATTATATGTAAACAGTTTTAATGAGTATATCTGTAGAGTTGCGAACATTTTTCCCTGGACGTTGTTAGTAACTATTTAACGTCGTCAGCGTCATGGTGGTGAGGGGAAGTGGGGTCTAAAATATTATTTACTTTGATTTTTTCTCCCATTGTTAAGTTTTGCTTCTAATTTTTTAATATGTTTTATACTGAAAGGCAGCCTTCACCACCTGTACACCAATCATGTGTGTGGACCGCCTGCACACGGCAGATTGTGCCAAGTGTCGGGCAAAGTTTGGCCTCAAGTGTACATGGTAATATAGTGAACAGTTTATGTTTTCCAATCATTTTTTTTCAGAGTGAGTTAATGTGTGTGTGTGTGTGTGTGTGTGTGTGTGTGTGTGTGTGTGTGTGTGTGTGTGTGATAATCATCTACTACTAAGGGGGGGGTTTAAAGTGAGACCAAATCGTTCAGTCTACCCTTTAAAGTGACCATTTTCTGTGACAGCATGACTAGTTGTACACTAAAGAAAACGTTGGAACCCTTTAGCAAACATTTACCTAATGTTACTGTATATTTTCAAGAACAATAAATTAATAAGAGCCCCTCTGTATATATTCTCTCTATTGCTTTCTCTATCTCTCTTTTCTCTTTTTCTATATCAATACTATTTACATTTCTATCTTGACGTCATCCTCTTAGCGACTGATCGGTTTGTCCTGTATTATGTTATTTAATTATATTCGTTTATGAACAATCCAAGTTAATATAAGACACTTGAGTTATAGTCCAGAACGATAAAGGTATTTCTAATAAGCAGCTGCAGGACCTGAGGTGACGAAGAGGTTAATGGTGATGACACAGCTGATTAAGAACTCCTTCGTCACACACCAGAAATATCCCATCTAATTTCCTTGGGGGTTTATGAGCTGTTCTCTGGCCCTGAGTGATGCATGGACCTCACCACATACGGGAGGGTTATCGTCATCTACAGGAGGGTTATCGTCATCTACAGGAGGGTTATCGTCATCTACAGGAGGGTTATCGTCATCTACAGGAGGGTTATCGTCATCTACAGAAGGGTTATCGTCATCTACAGGAGGGTTATCGTCATCTACAGGAGGGTTATCGTCATCTACAGGAGGGTTATCGTCATCTACAGGAGGGTTATCGTCATCTACAGGAGGGTTATCGTCATCTAGGGTTATCGTCATCGTCATCTAGGAGGGTTATCGTCAGAGGTTATCGTCATCTACAGGAGGTTATCGTCATACAAAGGGTTATCGTCATCTACAGGGTTATCGTCGTCTATCTACAGGAGGGTTATCGTCATCTACAGGAGGGTTATCGTCATCTACAGGAGGGTTATCGTCATCTACAGGAGGGTTATCGTCATCTACAGGAGGGTTATCGTCATCTACAGGAGGGTTATCGTCATCTACAGGAGGGTTATCGTCATCTACAGAAGGTTTATCGTCATCTACAGAAGGTTTATCGTCATCTACAGGAGGGTTATCGTCATCTACAGGAGGGTTATCGTCATCTACAGGAGGGTTATCGTCATCTACAGGAGGGTTATCGTCATCTACAGGAGGGTTATCGTCATCTACAGGAGGGTTATCGTCATGTACAGGAGGGTTATCGTCATCTACAGGAGGGTTATCGTCATCTAAGAAGGTCATCCTTACTTCCCCTCACCCTCCTCATACCCTCCCTACCCCTTCCAATACCTCCCTCCCCTCCCTCCTTAACCATTCCCTCCTCCATCATCTCTAAATGTTACCCCCTTCCCTTCAGCATCCTCTCCCCCTTCCTCTCCTTTTCCCTTCCCACCTCCTCAATCCTTCATCTTCCTCCTCCTTAACTCTTCGTCTTTCTTTCCCCTCCCCCCTCCCACTCAACTCTTCACCCTTCCTCCCTCTTCTCTCCTTCCTCCTCCCTTCCCCCCCCCACCTTCCCTCTCTCCCTCCTCCCTTCCTCCCCAAGCGGTAATGAGAGCGGGGGATGAATTGATTGTTACCAATATTCCAGTGACCAACGTAAACATTTGGTGATTCAGTCAGTGTACCAACTCTTTCCCACCATAACTTGTCTCCTCCCAATACTTTCCCATGCAAACTGTCTCCTCTGCCCACCTTTCCTCTATCCTTTCCACCTTTTCATCCCTTTTCTCTTCCATTTTTTCCTTCTTCCTTCCTTCCATCCTCTATTTTTTATTTTCTTTACTCTTTTTTTGTCATCTTTCCCTTCCGTGTTGTCTCCTTCTTCTTGACATTGCTTCTTTGATTCCATCTCCTCACTATGTTGTCTTGTGTCTCTTTTCCTTCCCCTTCCTATTGCTTATTCTTTCGCCTCCTCTTGGCCACTTTCCCTACCCACCCACACACACACACACACACACACACACACACACACACACACACACACACACACACACACACACACACACACACACACACACACACACACACACACACACACACACACACACACACACACACACACACACACACACACACACACACACACACACACACACACACTGAAAATAAGAAAATACACACACACATTCTCACACCCACCTCATACACCCACACCCACATAAAGACAACCTCCTCCTCCTTCCCCTCCTCCTCCCTCTTCTCCCCCCTCCTCCTCCTCCCCTCTTCTCCCCCTCCTCCTCCTCCCCTCTTCTCCCCCTACTCCTCCTCCAGTCTAATACACTCCAGGTGACATAATGAAGCCGCTAATGACTGACTAGACCAGAACCTCAACCCTAACATCTGGGCGACTCACCTGGTGATAAGTTAAAAGGCACCGTGTGAGAGAGAGAGAGAGAGAGAGAGAGAGAGAGAGAGAGAGAGAGAGAGAGAGAGAGAGAGAGACTGTAGACTCCCCTACAGCCATGGCACCAAGACACTCACCAAAACAGTGTGCTGAGATCTTTGTACCTTGAGGTTCGTATCGTAAACAGAGGTATTTTTCCATCCTCGACGTACGACTTTTGGGTTAATCAGGTTGTGACGAGAACATGGCAGAAGGTAAATACTACCTCTATCACTTTCCACTTATGGTAATCAAGGACAAACTCTCTCTCTCTTTCGTGACGATTTTGTGTGACTTTAGTTTATTGTGTTTTGTTTTTGTTTTTTGAGGGATGACTGATGATTCTGGTTTGGTCTGGCTTACTTGTTGCATTCACGGGAGTCCGCTCGGGGGTGTGGGAGGGGGGGGGGTTACCTGTCCCCCTAATTCCTGGAAAATTTAGTTTTTTTATTCATATGTATAGGAATTTAAACGTTTTCTATTGCTTTTATTCAGAGTTTTAGAGTCTATAAGAAGGCTCTAGATAGACAATTACCCTGTAGCTAAATATAGAAAATTATATCATTCACAAGTTTAAACGTTTGTACTACCATGGTGGCTTCATGGATATTGGGCAGAACATGTCACTCAGGTCATCACAGAGACAGACGTGGCCATGCTAACGTCCCCTGAACCCTGATATAACATAACTGCGGTCGACCATCTGCTGATCAACACACACACACACACACACACACACACACACACACTCCCCTTCCTTAGCCATCTCACTAATGAGGACGCAGCTGAGCAATCAAACAACCATTTCGCAACTATATGCCAGACGCTCCCCCGGCTTGATACAACCACTCTCCCTGCTTACCTACCAGCCCCCTTCCCACTGACTTAGTGGAAGAATTTCAAGTAGCAAAACGTCTGGACAAACTGAAGCTAAAGCGCTCCACCATCCCCCATTGACTTACCAATGAAACTCTTCAAGGAGTTCTCCCTGGAACTAGCTAAACCTCTGCTCCATCATCAATGCTTCCCTCAGCCAAGCAAGATGCCCAGCTGACTCGAAGACCTCATATATGTCACCAGTGCCCAAGTTAACCAGCCCACAATCCTTAAATGAGCTATGACCTATTGCAATCACCCCAATACCCAGCTTAATCTGCGAAAGTTTCGTGTTTGACTGGGCTTATGCTGATATTGCAGGCACCATAGATCCTCAGCAATTCGGTTATATGAAAACTTCCTCCACCACTCACTGTCTTGTCAGCTTTCTCGACTACATTTACCGCCATCTGGAAAAACGAAAGATGTCTGTGGCTGTCGCCTTCATTGACTTCACCAAAGCATTTGGCCTAGTCGACCACAATTTAATCATCAACAAATAAATCTATCGACTTCGGGTTTCGAAGAAGTCTTATACCAAGGCTTATAGACTTCCTTAGTGACCGACGCCAAGCCGTACGCTTCCGAGGGGCTGTCTCCACTTTTCAGTCACTCACCTGAGTCGTCCCCCAAGGCACCAAGATGGGACCGCTCTGCTTCCTTATACTTATCAATGATGCCCTAAAAGAGAAACCTCTGCTCGCTGAAAATATGTCAGCGACTCCACCATTGGGATCAGTGTCAACAACTCGGCTCCAGACTACACCGCCCTCCAGGATTTGTTGGAAAGTCTCCAAAATTGGGCCACCAACAACCACGTCACCATCAACCATACCAAGAGCATGGTTATGCACATCAACCTCTCCTCCGACCTTGCCCCACCTTCCTCCATTATTTTGGGCTTCAACACACTCCAGTTTGTGGACACCACCAAGCTCTTCGGCGTCATTATAGGTAACAAACTAAATTGGAAAACACACATCAGTACAGTTGTCAAATCCTCCAGTTTTCGTCTCCACCTCCTCCGCCGATTCAAGTCCCTCGGAGTTCCTGCGCCCGAGCTTCTCAGTGTTTACTCAACATTCATACTTTCCAAGCTCACCTATACCTTTCCTGCCTAGTCTTCCTCCCTAAATGCCACGCAGCAGAAACACCTAAAAAAAAGTGCAAAAGAGTGCATGCAAGATTATTCTGTCTTCCTCCTACCCCACATATCAAGAAGCAATCAACACACTGACCCTCTCGGCTCTCTCTGACCATCACCACGGCCTTATCTGCAAATTTGGTGGGAAGCTTCTGCACCATCCTCGACATCGGCTCCTACTCCCACCCGAGATCCCCCGTCTGCGAATTGCTGTTCGACGCCACAACCGCACCCAACCCATACGAGCACGTAATAATAATAATAATTAACGGTTTATTAAAAAAGTTCTGCAGCCCGAAGGCTGAAAATATACATTGGACATAAATGACTTATTACATACATTGGTGGTTTAACAAAAGCCTTCATTAGAGAAAGGTAAAGGAACATACAGTGAGCATACAGATTAATGTAGGTGTTGAACAGCAAACACGTAGTGTAGTAACTCCCTCCTCAATGGTATTTTATGGGGCCTCACGTGGTGTAGTAATTCCTCCCAGATGGTGTTATGAGGGGCCACGTGGTGTAGTAATTCCCTCACAGATGGTGTTATGAGGGGCCTCACGTGGTGTAGTAATTCCCTCACAGATGGTGTTATGAGGGGCCTCACGTGGTGTAGTAATTCCCTCACAGATGGTGTTATAAGGGGCCTCACGTGGTGTACAGATGTGGTGTGAGGGGCCTCGTGGTGTAACTCCCTCCCAGATGGTGTTATGAGGGACCTGACGTGGTATAGTAATTCCCTCACAGATGGTGTTATATGAGTGAGGTGTGGTCCCAGTCCTTCCTATCGTAGACGGATTAACACATCGCTGGTTGTTGTTGGGTCTCACGGGCCGTTATCACTGGGTACCTGGGACCTCGCTGTGTGAAGGTTAACTTGGGTACGACTGTTACTGTTGAGTTGTTCTCACTGACTTAAGCACTGTTCACCTCTGTTTAACACTGGTTCCATTCCTTTCCTAAATGAAATTGTCACTTCTGGCGAGAACTTGTTGATATTCCGGTGGGGAGGAGGGTTCAGGGGAGGGAGTTGGTATGGGCCAACTTAACAGTTGACCTGGCTGCTCCGAGAGGAGCGCCAGGTACTTCTTGACCCTTCGGTGGTCAAGGATGTAGTACTGATCATTATAAGAACAGCCCAGTCCCAACCATTGCTAAAATTATCAAGAACTTGTTATCAACCAGTGTATTTACTCCCAGCCAATCTTACCTTTTTGCACTGTCACTACTTTGAAATGCCCTCTAGTATGACCTTCTCCCCACCTAGTTATTATATATCATATTTGTATCACTTATGTTATTTGTATATTATTTGTCAATTAATCAAGTGATCCATTCACCAATTATGCAACTGTATATTTTCAGCCTTCCGGCTGTTATTATTATTATTATTATTATTATTATTATTATTATTATTATTATTACACACACGCACACAGGTCTCTCTCAGGGGTAAAGTCCAACTGATTTAAACTGGAGGAGGAGGTATTCAGATAATTGACCCCAACTCCTTTACTCCTTTCTTCTTGGCTTCTGTTAAGCCTCGGGTATGGGGAGCCTGACAACCATTCTTATTTATGGACTCTAAAACTCAGCTCGTGGCCAGGTCTTGTCAACTTGTATTCTGAATGGTCCTCTTGAGGGGGGACAACTTTTCTTATTATTATTTGTATTAATGCCAAGACGGGGAGATGTGGTAAGGTATCTCATGGTTCTGGTGGTCGGTCGGTTTAGTCGGGCAGGTAGTCGGTGTGTTTCTGTTACGCATTATTGACAGGTCCTGGGCACGTAAGAGCTCTGAATACATTTGTGCCATAATATCTCGAGGGTGATATT